GCAACGTTAGATTGACTTGATTGTTATATCATCTTAACTCTTACGCGTGTGATTCAGCCTAAGCTTGTTTTACCGCTCTTAATGTTTTATCTCGTCGTTCAAATCATTATAAAGATATAATTATTTGTTCTCTCTAAAATTAAGCATGCAAATCCATTAATTAGCTCATCTTCGCATTGTGGTTTCACATCACTATCTCTAACAGTACAAGGCCTGCCCATTTACAAAATAGCCCCGCTGCCATCATTAAAATAATGCTAAGAATTTAAAAAGAAAATAATATTAATAAGTGCATTAAAACTCGTGATCTCTTCTAAACATGACTAAGACTTCCTTTGGAATAGCTTTCTTATGCTTTGCATTTCAGACAATAATCATAGTTTTGTTTGACCATTACTTTTTCACTACTTTCAATAAATTTTTGTGCTAGGAAGCTGCTTTCTACAGCATCTTTCAAAAAAGTTGCTTTCCCCACAATAGTTTTACAACCATTTATATAAAAAGTTGCAGCCTCCCCAATCTTTATCAATAGATCAAATAATCTTTAGTTTACACATGCATAAATTTCCTAATATGTTAAAGTTTGAGTTGGCTTGAATCAAGTTTTCGATAGGCATCACAAACTCAAGCTTTGTTCAAAATAGTGTTTAATGCTGATGTTGAAACTCAATAAGAACAGATTTGAGTTGATTTTGTCCAAAAAAAGGGGTTGAATTTCTATGTCAATTTGTATTGAATACAAGAAAAAGAAACATCTATCCCATTATGTGAGGTCAGCTATATGAATCATTGTTATCCACTATGTCCTATTAAATATCAAGTTATCATTCAAATCTAATAAAAAAAAGTCATTTCTAATACTTTCTAACCAAGCCTTTTTTTAGGTCTACCTCTAATTTTCTTAACCTATGCTAGATCTAATACATCTACTCTGCTAATAGGATCATCAAAAAGCCGACATTTTATATGAATCGATTTCTATTGAATAATATACTATAACTTAAAAAGGCTTAAATAGACCTTAGGTGGCACAACAAAGCTCATCACCAATTTAGCTTTAACTTAAGTTAAAGATGAGTTTTGAAGGGCTTAGTTAAATGGGCTTTAGCCCATTTGACACCCCTAGAAACTAATTCACATATAGATAAACTAGTTAACATAAAAAACACATGAAAGTCATACGCATGGAGAGAAATAATGATGCATAGATTGTATAAATATGTACTGACATGCACAAATTATATTTCATGGTCAATTTATCTTTGTAAGGTCAATTAGGGGTGTCAAAATGGGTCAACGGGTCGGGTTTAACACCAGCAATAAAGACTAGTGAAAAACTTAAAAAGAATTATTAAGAGAGTGAGCTGAAGAGAAGAACCATCAAGAAGTGAAAACCTACGGTGAGAGAGAATGAAAAATCAATAAGCAAAGACTTAATAACTATGAGAAACAATAAGAAGAAAACAATCATGCCTAATTATTGTGGTAGATGCTATATCAAACTATAAAATTTGAACCAAGAATTTGCTATGAGTTAGAGCAAAGTGCACAATGCAGCAATGAAGTGGTGTGCACATGCATTTTGCTACAAGCTTGATTTTCACATGCAAATGATGCGTAGGGTCAATGCATTGCTTTCCTTTGAAAGCATGCTTTAACACAGGCGTTTAACATATACTCATACACAAAAATACATAACATGCATAAAGGGCATGATCATGAGAATATACATATTCCTTACATATCAAATAATACGACTTTGCTTGCGGTGTACATAAATGGCATCCTTGTGTTTGTTCACATTAATTCAATGCCATAACTTAATGTACAAGTAGTGTAAAAATATAGTATTATGATCAAGGAGGCTCCCCAAAATTAAAATAAAGCTAAGCTAAGTAGGGTTTAGTGATTTTTCTAAGATGTACGTTATTTTTTATGACTAAGAAGTGTATAGAAGATACCAAAAGACTATTGAACCTTCTAATGTATTCAGAAATTTTTAAGAGAGAAAAGATAATCACAAAAGTCAAAATTGCATTAAAATACTAGCTCCTAATTCCTTTATCATCCATACCATATTGGGAGGATAATTTGAACGTTTTTGAATATTTGAATGAGAGGTGTTAAGATATTTAGTATAGTTTTCTATTCTTGTACAATTATATTAGGATTGAATTTGAATTTATTTAGATAGAAATTCGGCTCCTATATTCATACAAATATGAGGCCTGAGGATGTTCTTTTGAAGCTTGAAGCAGTAAAATTATTCCTCAACTCAATTCTCTCTTATCTACATAACCAATTAGTTTCTTCAGTCCCAAAACCAAAAACAATTCTAGCCACCACTACGATCATCTCTCTCTTGATTATTATCTGAATTGAGTGATTCAAAGTTTCATTCTTCCAAATTTTATTCTCTAGAACTTGAATATTAAACATGGCTAATTTGATTTAAATCATCCCTGGATTGTTGCAAAAGCCACCTCCTACTTGAGCCCTTTAAGGAAGAAAGGCGTTTTCAGGTGGAAAAACCTACTAACTAGTATTTAGGGAACACCAATGGCATGATAATTCATTCATTAATTTCATTATTGAAAGATACTTCTTAATTTTTTTTCATAGAAACCCTAAATTGCATGCATAGGAGTTCATATAAAAAAAAACTATAAAGCTGCGTATAAAGTGATAACCTTATTCCTACCAGTTCCCAAAGTCTTCTGCATCCCAACCCTAAGTCATATTTATGGCGTGTTAACAAGAATTTGCAAAAAGTTTAAGATTACATAATTAAAATATTAAAAAACGACAATTAAAGGATTGTTCCTTATCTTTTCAATTCACATCCTTCCATGCATGACAGTATACAATCATTTCAAGATGAATGCCAAAACCAGGGAAGAATGACCAAAATTACCTGATATCCATTAGTGAATATGCTTGCATGTGATCATGATTTAGAAGAATTAAAGGTACGAGATCCACACGCAAAGGCTCAACACCTAGTTGCTCAAGTATTGAGAGGAACCTCTGCCTGATACTATCACAGCAAAATGGTTTACACTTCACAATCAGCCTAGAATTTGGGACTGCACATAATATCTTTGCCCAGACTTTTAATACTTTGGGAGTAATCTGTAGAATGATTGATGAAGAATTACGTTAGCAAGCTCAAAAATGATATTAAAAGGAGGGGCATCGCAAGTTGACAGAATCACCTTTGCTAAATTGTTAAAGCTCCCAAACGTAATAAAACCATTTGAAAGTGCAGGGGTGGGAGAAACAACACCAGCTTCGGGAGAAGGCGTATAGCAAAGAAAGCATTCAGATAGTCGAACCAACTCTTCAACTTGCCTGGCAAACAGAATCATTATCACAATCATGAGCACATCGGGCAGGACATTGAAACAAAATTGTTTCCTTGGCTACAAACTCACTTCTGACAGGTAGTAGGTGGGTCTGCAAATGAGTCTGAGATTCTATAATCAACAGAAGGTAAACCAGATGTATTTGGATATCCAATCCAAGTTACCTAGAAATTAGAGCAAGGTAAGTTAAGCAAGGAAGCCAAAGTTAGATGACTATTACAAGCAGGCTGTATAATGGAATCACAACGAAATATGACAAACATTGCAGTATGCAGCACGAAATAAAACAGAAGAGATGATTAGATAAGGCTGCTTACAGCCCAAATAGTAAACAATACTAAGATTATAAAATAGGCAAATTTCAACAAAATAGATAACAATCAAATTGGTTAACAAACTACCTAAAATTCCAATTTTTGGAGACTAAACATAGCACACACCAGCAAGCACATGAAGTGTGCAAGCATACATGCACATGACCCTGCAACGTATGGCTCTATACACAGAATGGCTGATTTAAAATAGATGTGTTAAGAAATATCGTCAAAATTCTAGAAGAATTTTGTTAACAGATTAAACTAGCGAAGTCTAAATAAATGGAGTCATCATATTCAGGAAGATAAGAAAGAAATTAATTTGGAATTATGGTAGAAATCAAATACCATAAGTGCTTACTCAGGGCTTCTGCAAGTAAACAATTCTGCATGATAAAGCTAATTAAATCGAACTACTAAAAAAAAAAATCTTTGTTGAACCAATGTCCATAACTTAGGCATCACCAGATAAATAAATTAAAATTCACTGAAATTTGAAATATACCTATGAAAATCATTTAAAGATAAACTAAAACTTAAAAACTAGAAGACTCCATGAGGCCAATTTTCTGTTGCACATATAGAATACAAAAACACACAAAAATTAATGGAAAACAAAAGAAGTAAAATATATTATGTTTTAGAAATGTACATAACATAACATATCTAAAAAACTACCTGAACAGGAGCAGGTCTACAAGCCAAAGTTCCTAACTTGTTGTTTGCAGTATGGCCAGTAAGCTCCACAAGTATGTCAACCTTATCCTCTCTTACCATGTGAGCAACCTTTTTTTCATCAACACCATAGATATCTCTCCATAGGCCACCCTTTTTAAGAACTTTTTCCTTAAATTTGAATGTTTTGGCATCTGCCTACAAGGATTCCCAGAAAACGGCATTAAAAAAAATTGAAGCACAACAAAACTAACATTTTGTTTTCAGTAACTTAAAAAAAGAATTTTGGATAGGGAAATTATAGGGTAAAGAGAAATGCTATAAAAGATACTTTCATGAATGCCATGTCATGTTATTTTTAAGTTTAATAATCAGCTAGAACCATTTTAAAATAAATTCTATGATAAAGACCTTAGAGTATATTTGGGCAACTTTCTCAATGCTTTGCTTTTCATAGTACTGCCCACATTGCCGATTAACTCCTACTTTCTTGCTGTTTTTTAGAAATTTTTGTTGTAAAAAGTTGTTTTTACCGCTATATTTGGTAGGGTGTAGTAACTATAAGAAAGTTACTATCCAACTTTTTCAAAAGAAATATTTATGCTACTTACAATAACTTTAAAATAGTTATATTTTTTTAAATAGCCTTACAACCACCTTTATAAAAAACTGGAGTTGTCCCAAACAAATCCAGAGTAATTAACGCCATGCTTTTTTTTTCATATTTGATTCTTGATTAATGATAGACTTATCAAACAACATATAAGTGTCTTCCTTACAAATAAGATAAAAAATATATGATTCTTCTTTGCGGTGATTTAAAAGTCAAACTTGAGTGATTACAACCTCAAACCTTGTGTTCACCTAGGAAAATAGGCACGAATCTCGCTCTCACAAGCTTAAGGTCCTTATTTTCCGGGGTAAATTGAATTTTAAATTAACCAGATTTCTCCAGAGAGTAGTATCAGGATTTATTTAGACTTGGTTCTACTTCCTATGAGCGCAAGCCTTCATAGTTAATTACCCCTTCTAACGCGTAGAAGAGTACTCTCGATTAAGGATGAAATATATTTAGTTAGTGACAGAAGTGCAAATGTGTGTGCAACAATGTGTGAATGTTCTAAACCCAGGTTGTGGAGGGTGAAAGTAAACCCAATCAAGATCCCATGGTTCCATCATCCCGGGAATACCGTAGGTTTCAATCTACCAATACTAGCAACCATTAATCCTCGTGTCCAGAGAATCTGATTAGCAGTCATGGTTACCTCCTCTCAAGGATTCCGAGTAAACTGAAATGGATATGTATAGGTTGTTTAGTATAGATTGGAACCTGTGGCTCCATTTAAAAGTTGTCCAAAGTTTAGATTTGAATTGAATCTTACGGTCCCATTTAGGAGTTACCCGTATGATTAGATTTGGGTAGGGGCTTAAGGTTTTCCTTTTGAAAGTAGTCCTAATGACGGGTCCTATGGCCTCTATTAGAGGTGGCCCATGTAGCAAGTCTTACGACTTTATTAAAGCTGGCCAGGGTTATTCGGAACGTTCTATTTGTTTTGGAAAAGTTTTCCCCAACATCCTGATTGAGGTGGGGCTTACGGCTTTTATTAAAAGTGACCCGTATAAAGGTCTAGGAATAGGTTGCTACCTAGATATTTGCCCTAAAGTTGAACTTGCGGCTTCTATTAGAAGTTGCCGGAAAGTGGGTCTTACAACCTAGTCCTATAGGCTATGCTGCCCAATATTTTATGTGAATGGGTTTTTAGGGTTTTTTCTTAATGTATGGGACTTACTACACTTATAAGTGGCCCGGGTTAGGGGTTTACGATTAGGTTAGTTTTACCTAAAGATTTCCATTAAGATCAGTCTTACGACTTCTATTAGAAGTTACGAGGGTGTTTCTAATGTCGATCACTTCACATAATAGATTTGTCTAGTGAAATAGTCACTAGAAGGATTCTCTACTTCCATTAGAAGCGACCTATAGGGTTTAGGTTAGCGAGGATATAGCTTTACACGCTTCATTGTTTTAACACCAGTGTCAAGGTCTTATTTTGCCAGCTTTGTTTCAGAACTAGCCAACAATCATTATTTTGACACTTATTAGCCAGCATTTGTTTTGTTTTGTTAGCACTAGATATGTTCTTTTATTTACACTGTGCTAACTTTTGTCTACTTGTTTGTAGGTGTTCGTGGCCAGCAGTTACAAGAGCTGGAGCTTACAGTTGCAGAGGTTGGGTCTTGCAATTGCAGAGGGGTTTAGAGATCTCATAGGTAGTTGCACCTGTTGCTGTGTGTTCGAGAGAGTGTGGTTTTGTTTGGAGAGTTGTTGTGAGAATTGGTTAGTTGTTTAATAGCTTGTACTTTAGGTTCGATTAGTGGATAACACTATTTTTATGCTTTTTCATTTTTGTTTAATTTTAATTAATTGCATTAATTAATCAAATTAATTAAAAGTAAAATTTTAATTTCATTTCATTATTTAATTAATTGGTTTAATTAATTAAAGGTTAAGTTTTAATTAACATTTAATTGCTTAGTCCATTATTTTAAGTTTTAAATGTTAAGATGTATTTTAAAATTATTTATTTAAATTGATTACTCAAATAGTTTAATCAATATTAAAGGTTTAATTTTAATTAATTATTTCTTTAATTAAATATTAGTTAATTAGATTTAAATTTAAAATTTGATTGTTTAAAGTTCTTTTTTTTTTGTTAAAGGATTTTTTTATTTTGAATTTGATTATTTAATTCCTCTTGTTTAATTTAATTAAGTTGGAGATTTCAACTTAATTAAATAAGTTTAATTTAAAATCAATTAAATTAATTAAAACTTCTATCCTCTTTAAGCTTTAAGTTAATTGTTTTGAACCTTAAATGAATTTTAAAATTTATTAAAGTTGAATTTTGAATTGAATGTTTTGCTCTCTTTCAATTAATTAACCAAAATTTATTTTTTATAAAAATTAATGAATCTGAAGTTTAATTTTATTTTTGAATTAACTTTAGTTATATTTTTAAGGTTAGTTAATCTAAAGTTTGATTTTAATTACTTAATTATCTAGAAAATCGACCACTTAGTTAACTGATTTGTTTGAATTAGTTATATTTACTTAATTATTTAATGAATTGATTATCCCGTTAACTGATTTGTTTGAGTTATAGTTAATTAATCGATTGTCTACTCATTAAATTATGTTAATTGATTATTAAAATGGCTTCAAATTTAATTTTGATTTTAATTTAATTAATCAAGTTAGTTGAACTTGTTTTCTGAATTGACTTTTTAAGTTGGTTAATTGATTAATCAAATTATCAATTATTTTAAAAAGGTTTAATTGAATAAAAATTTTAAATTGTTCTCCAAGTTTTCCGAAATCAACATGAGCTTTCGAGAAAATTTCAACAGCCTCCCGGCGTCCCCCCCCCCTGCGAGAGGAGGTTAGGGGAGGACACTTGTCCATTTGAATCGACTCAGCCGGATCAATTTGACGGCGAGGACTTTGGGGTAGTGTATCGACCCCGGAATTAGTCTTCGAGTCTTCTATACTCTCGGCAGGATCAAATGGACAGCCAAGGGCTTCGGGGGACAATCAACACCGGGGCTTCCTTCAATTGTCGATTGCAGCATCTCCTGTTTTCTTTCTTTTCTTATAATTATTACCTAATATAATAATGAAATATGGTATAATAGATCCCTTCAATTTTAATTATTAGTATTTCATCAATAATAATAATTAAAATATCCTCCTTTGCTATTTAAAATCAAGAATTTATGTGTCCTGTGAGACAGACCAAACAAAGGCGAGATTGAGCTTTGTGCATGTGAAGCAAAAGGGAGGCGAATTGTGTGTGGATAGGAGGCGAATGGGTTTCGTTCATTCGTGAAGAGGAGGTTGACGTGCGAAGATCAGGTCTTCGGCTGGGCACAAGTAGAGACGGTAGGCCGGCTAGGGCTTCGACTACTGGTGCAGACGACTTGCGAGGTTGATTCGAAGTCAAGCAGCTTCAGCTGTGTGTGTGGGAAAGATGGGATCGAGACGACAAAGTGGCTTCACCTGCGGTCGAAAGAACAGGGAGATTGGTATGAGGTAAGATTTTAGATCCCGGGTGTTTGAATGCTTTCGATTCTGAGAGCCATAGTCGAATGAATCCTGCCTTCGTGTGAGGGAGCTTTTGTCATAAGCGTGGCAGTTGCTTTCAGAACGTGAAAACGATTGTGGGATCCTGCGTGAGTGGGTTGGTGGATAGGCAGATGGTCAACACTTTGACAATGGAGCTAAGAGATTGGTGATTTGATATACATTCATAGCCAATGATAAAACCTCTAAATTTGTGGCATTTTAAGTTTAAATAGTAGGCATTGTGCAAATGTGGCTTCTTAAGTGTGATTATACTGATATATTGATTCTAGTCATATGAGAGATTTACATTGATATTTTGTAATTTTTACAATTAAAATCTTCTAAATCTGACCCTCACAACGATCCATGCTAACCAATTTCATGACATCTTGAATAGAAAATGCACGTAAAGTCAATTCTTTAAAAGTAAAAAATGGCAACTAATAAAGAGGATTCATTGGTACCTTCACAACTGCCGAGTAAACAACAACTTGGTATTCGGTATAGTCATGGTATGAAAGGGGCGCCTCAATGAAATATGACACAGAATGAGTAAAATAATCAGGGGAAACATATCCAATAATTAGTGGTCGATCCATAACTTTAGGATTATCCCAACTTGTGTATTGTTGATAAAGCCTCATAAAACGTCTTCCCCATTCCCTATCAAGAAGAATTAGCATTTAAGAAACATTAAGCAGTCAAATATTTGTATAAAAAAGTACAAGGAAAAATTTAACACATTATATTCACCATAAGCAGACCATGGAAGCAAAATGTAAAATAAAATATTCGTTTTCATTTTTCAAAAAATTAAATCCAAATGAAGAAAGAACTGATTATAATTGTCAAGAAAATTTGATATTTAAAAGTATTGATAGACACATTACTTAAGATAATGTGCTAACATATTTGCATTAGAGTTTAATTAGTCAAATACAACTTCCTGTAAAATTAAGGAAATATTTACTAACACGGATAATATTGATGAAGATTACTATGCAATATCCTTCCCGCAGACCTATTGTTTGCACCCATCTCCAAAGAACATCTATAGAAAAAAGAAGCCACCAGAATGGCTAGCTTGCAGCACAATATCATCAACAGCATCACTCTTATAACAACTATTTGATGCTGGCTATGAAGTTTAGCATAAGTTTTAAAACTAACAGTCAGCCTCACATTAACCCTCAACTTTGTTCATCCTCCATTGGGAAAGGCAATCCTGGTTTTTTATCAACCCTTGGGAATAGCAGTCATGATTTCTTGAATCACAATATCATCTACACACACATGTTGCCTATAGTTCATTATAGAGGTCCAATGTTGGTCTAATGGAAATAGTCTCAATGCAAATGCAGGCCTAAGGCTACATGCAAAACCCCCTCCATTCCCTGTAATAGCAGGAGCTCCATGCACCCCAATACCATCCATAAACAAAATTGTAATTAGGAAAGGATGAATTGAAGCAGTGTATTAAAGAGGCTCCCAATTAGATAAAGAAAAAACTAGTCACTTGCAAATGCAGGCCTAAGGATACATATCATACCACTCCACACCATGCATCAGCAGGAGCTCCATGCACCAGGCATGCCCCCAATATCATCCGCAAACAAAATTGTAATCAGAAAAGGATTAGTATAAATAATTGCACCCTGATAGCCAGTAATAACTCTAACTGGCCTCATGCCATGCCAGTTATGTTCCTCCCTCTCCTAAGCAAGTATGCCCTTCAAACCAAAACATACCCAAAAGAAAACCTCCAAGAAAAAAAATTTGTGGGATAGAATGGACCATCTCCTTTCCAAGAAAATAGATGTCTTGGTAATTCTACAAATTTTACAAGCTAGGGAATCTAAAAAATAAAATTTCTTCATAATTAACTGCCCTACCCACTTCTTGGGAGAGCACTCACGATTAAGGATGAGTCACTTTAGAGTAGCCTCATAATTTTAAGTTTTAATCTCATTTATAGGGGATAGAGGTACACCCGATCAAGATCCAATGGTTCTGTCATCCTGGGAATACTATAGATTGTAGTCTACGAATGCTAACAAACCATTGGTTGCAGCGTCTAGGGAATCTGATTAGCAGACATAATTTACCTCCTCTCAGGGATTCCGAGTAGACTGAGATGGTTGTGATGTTGGTTTTGGTTTTGTTCTACTTTAAGTTTTGCGACTTATATCTATTGGAAAGCCTATTAGTTTATTTAACTTGGGGCTTATTGCTTCTCTCAGGAGCTGCCCATTAGTTTAGTTTAGGATGTGGCTTACGGCTCCTTTTAGAAGTTGTCCGATAATTTGGTTTAAGATGAGACTTATAACTCTGTTTAGAAGTTGCCCGCTAATTTGAATTAAGATGAGACTTACGGCTTTGTTTAGAAGTTTTCTGGTACTTTGATTTAAGATAGGGCTTACAGTTCTGTTTAAGAGTTGTCCGATAATTTAATTTAAGATAGGGATTATTGCTTTACTTAGAAGTTGCCTGTAGATTTAGTTTGAAATAGGGCTTACCTCTTCACTTAAAAATTTCCTACTTTGTTTGAAGTACGGCTTAGTGCTTCACTTAGAAGTTGCTTGTAAATTTAGTTTGAAATAAGGCTTATTACTTCACTTGAAGTTGTCTAATGAGTTGGTTAAGAATAGATCTTATTGTTTCATTTAGAAGTAGCCTATTTTGATTTAGGATTTGTTACTTCATTTAGAACCTTCCCTAATAGATTGTTTAAAGTAGATATTCTTGTCTCTATTAGAAGTTGTCTGTAGATTTAGTTTGAAAGGGCTTATTGCTTCACTTAGAAGTTGTCTATAGTTTTTGTTTGAGGGTGGAACTTATGATTTCACTTAGAAGTTGCCTGTAGATTTTGTTTGAAATAAGGATTATTGTTTCATTTAGAAGTTCCCTATTGATTTTGCTTGAAATAAGGCTTACTACTTCACTTGGAAGCTGCCTTAATGAATTGGTTACGATAGGACTTATTGCTTTTTTTAGAAATTACCTATTTTGACTTTGGGTTTGTTACTTCATTTAGAAATTTCCCTAATAAATTGGCTAAAGTCGGTCTACTGCTTCTATTAAAAGTTACCTATTGATTTTATTTAAAAGAGGGCTAACTGCTTCACTTGAAAGTTGTCTAAATAAATTGGTTAAAATTAGGATTTACTAGTTCATTTAGAAATTACATATTTTGACTTAGAGTTTGTTACTTCGTTTAGAAGTTTTCCTAACAAATTGGTTAGATTTGTCTGCTGATTTAGAGTTTGTTGAACTTGGGAATAGTTAATTTGGTTTTCGCTTTCCTGTTGCTTTAGCAGTTTTTATTTTTGCTTCAACATTGTTGTTTAGTTCTAGTATTAATTTGCACCGGTTTATTTCCTTGCAGGTGTTGGAGCCCGCACCAATTGTAGTTTTAGTTGAGTTTGAGTCTGTTTTAGTTTGAGTTTATTTTGAGTTTTAGTTTGAAGTTTTAGTTGAGTTTGAGTTTATTTGGAGTTTGAGTTAGTTTGGAGTTATAGTTTGGTTTGGACTATTGTACTGGGGATGATAAGTGTAAACAATTTCCCTTTTTTATTTTATTTTATTTGGTTTCAAATTAATTAACAATTTAAAATTAAAGTGTTTTATTATTATTAATTAATTCAATTAAAGTTTTAAATTAGTCAAATTTAATTAATTGTTATAAAAAATGCTTATTTTCTAATTTAACCAACTCTGTTTAATTAAACAAAAATATATTATTAATAAAGTGGCTCTCCCCTATTTATTTTGTCAAATAGCAATTCCCTCAATCTTATTCTTTATTTTAGCATTTTTCTCAAAAATCTAATAACCTCCCAGCATCCCTTCCTAGCAAAGGGAGGTTAGGACGACACTTGCTACTGTTCTTCCCGTCGAATCAAAGTTACGATGGCACGAGGGCTTCAAATTAAATATTTCTGGTCGGATCAAAGATACAACATTGCAGATCTTCAAATCGGCAGTACTTGTTGCTTCTCTTTTTTAAAAAATATCTATTACTATTACCTTTTATCTTCTTTTTCTTTTTTAAATTGGTCAGCCTCCAGACGTCTCTTCCCTGCAAAGGGAGATTGGGATAGCATTTGTCGTTGTTCTTCTCGGCAAAATCAAAGATACGATGACAAGAGGGCTTCAAGTCAAATATTCATGGCCGGATCAAAGATACAACGGTGCAAGTCTTCAAATTGGAAGTACATGTTCTCTTTTTTTTTTTCTTTTTCCCTTCTCTTTTTTCTTTCTTCTATTTTTTTTTACAAAAAACTTTAGCAAATTTGTATAAAATAAGATCAGCGGCAGACTTAGGATCAAAACGGAACAGGAAGCGAAGTGCTCAGACCGGGCGATCACATTGATATCGTGTGGAGGAAAGGCAGATCGACGGGTCGAAGGACGCGAGGGCTTGCACGCGATTTTGTGCGGGAGAAGGGATAGCGGGTTGCAGGTATGGTCACGAGAAGAAGCGAAGGCATGAGCTAGCGGTGCCAGCGCAGGATCGCCCATGTGGGTAGTCGCGAGAGTGAGCATAGGGGGTCGACAATGGGTTCAGGTTGGGCCGAACGCATGGAGGTAAGGTGACGAGGCGCGGGTGAGGGACTATGGGATTTTCCTTAAGCTTCATGTGTGCAATACAGAGAGACAAGAGGGAGAGATCAGAGCGTTATGTGGGGAAGAAAGGCTACGGGATCGAAACTGAACAGAGAGCATGAGTTTTTTTTCGTTAATTTCCTTTTGTTTTTGTAAAAATGAAGAGAGGCGTCCGTGCATGAAACAAGGCATCTCTTCGATTTTTTTTCATTTTTTTATTATTCAACACAGATATAGATGAACAACATCACAAGCACATAAGGAGAAAATTGCATATAGTATTATGATTTCCTAAACACTATCATGATCATAATAATAATCATCCAGCTCATCCCACCTATTTATTAACATCATGAATCATGTCCTCCATTCATCCAAGTTGAAAACCTATTAATCAAATCAAGGTTAGGAACATAACTCAAGTTCAAATTCAACTTAGTTAGGTCAACCCGATCAACAAACAAAGATTTTTTGGCTATTCCATCAAAAATGAATAATCATTAACCAAACCCAACAATTTTTATTGCAAGAACTATGAAGGAAAATGCAAGATACAATTGGATCTTTAATTGGAGAGGAAGATCAAGTTCTCCCAAGTCCCTAGCCGTTGGCTAGAGCCCTCCCACCTAAGAAAACTTCAATTTCAACAAAGAAAACATAAAAAAAATTGAACCCTAGGGAAAAATCTACTTAAAGCATAACAATCTCAAAAATTTCCCAAAACAGCCCCCTTCTTTTCCCTCCTAGCTATCCCTTTCCCTATTCAAATTTTCTTCCCTTGGGCCACCCTAAGGGGCGGGACTCAATGCAAGCGAGATTTTCACTTGTTGTTTTCCACCTGTTGTAAACGAGCGTAGATCAAGGAGGGATTGGCTTGACCAGTCCAAGCAATAACAGTCCATAAAAACCCTCAAAGAAAAAAATTGTGAAATAGAAATTAAATATCTCCTTTCAAAGAAAATAGAGTTCTTGGTTATTCTAAAAATTTTACACCCTAGGGAATTTAAAAAAAGTAAAATCTAGAATAACAACATGACAAGCATATAAGGAGCAATTACATAAAGTATTATGATTTCTTAGCGATATCGTGATCTTAATAGCAATCAACCATCTCATCCTACCTATTTATTGCCTTAATGAATCATGTCCCTCCATTCATCCAAATTTAAAAACCTATTAATCAAATCAAGTTTAGGAATATAACACAAGTTCTAATTCAACTTGGTTAGGCAAACCTGATCACCACACAAGATTTTTTGGGTATTCAATCATAAATAAATAATCTTTAACCAAATCTAACACCAAAAAGCAATTTGAATAAGCTGAGTCAGATCAACTGGTAGTTTCAAGTAAAATACATTACCTAAACCTAAAACCTTATCAAGTAGAACAAAGAAGGTCACCAGATGTGCATAAGTATATTCATAACAATGTTACTTTTACATATTTTCTTTCATATTCATTCCACATTTACTAATTTTTCTGCCTTATTGATCATCTTCATCTCTATTGAATTAGCAAAAGCCACCAAACCATATTTTTTATAATACATATTCAATAGGCACTTCTTTTGTCATCTCACAAATCACTTGATTTTACATTCAATCCTTCTAGATTAAAAAAAAGGAGGCAAACTAAACTTTTTAATAATATTTCTTTTCTTAAAGAATAACCATAGTAATCATTTGCTATAAACATCACATGATGCATATGTTTAACCCACCATTATACATACCCAAATCATTTGAGTCTTTTCCATTGCCTTATATTTAAAAGGTGCTACTCCTATGATGTACTAATACTTTATAATAAAGAAATATATTGTGTCTGACAAGTGCACTCGCCCTACACGTGTCAAACAAACTAAGTATCCAGTTAAAAAAAAATAAAAAATGGAGATTGAGATGCATGTCCGATACAAAGTCCTGAATAATAAATTTTTAACTTTAAAAATTTATAATATAAATAACTTTAGTTAAGTCATCTATTATTTTTTTATTTTACAATATATTACGTGAATAACTTAATATCTACTTAATACTAATTTTAATTTTCTTATTGTGCTTTCTATTTTTTGTAAAACTTTTTTTTTATCTTTTAGTTTATTAACTTCAAACTAACAATCTATTATATTAGATATTTTATACTAAATATTTTATATTATAAACTAGACAAGTTATCATGTCATTCATTTATTATTGTTTGTCATTTTTAATATGATATTACATTAATATATATACAATATATAAAAAAATGTATTGCAGTGTCCGCGCCGTACCTATGTCATATATTTAAAAAAAAAAAGCCGTGTCTCGTGTCCGTGTCGTGTCCGTGTCGCCGTGTCCGTGTCCATGCATCATAGGCATATATAGATGTATCATAAAGCTACTCCCATTACTTCTCAAAGACAATAATCTCTCATAGGACTGCCTAATTTTAACACACATCTAGCTTAATTACAACCACACTCTAAAAATCTAGAAAACCAAAACTAAGATCTACATAACATAGTTTAGCTTAAGTAGAAATGTTTTCTGGGTCAATTACCATTAAATTATATTTCATGGTCAAAAATCTTTACCAGGAAAAATGTTATTGTGATTTTGAACTTACACTTTTGCAAGTAGTGAAGTGTTATTCTCATTCCTTAAAATATGAATTAGTTGTTACTGGATCATAAGCTACTGAAAATCAAGTAAAAAATCTCTCCTCACATTTTCATCATATATTTCATAACCATTATGACTCCTCACATAGCCCATCCACCTAAAACGTACAAGTTCATTTGGTTGGGCATCCTTTACTCCTCGAACATGCTCCATAAAAGATAATCCATCACTTCTCAAAACCGGCTTTACAAACTATCCTTAATCCAACTTTATGAGCATAAACAATAAATATAATTTATAATGTACTTATAAATTAACTAAATAAAAACCATTTTATCACTAATCCTCCTCCCCTCAACAATTTTATCTTCAAACTATATCTACTAACAGATCAAACTCACGATAAAATTTCCTAAGGCTTTTTTACTTATCCTTTAATTCTTACAAATATGTGAACATAATTCTTTTGCTAATAATTATGTCCACTAATTCTCTACGTTCTCATTGAAATTCCCAAATTTCACAAAGCAACTAATCTAAACTATAAGACTACTTAAATCTTGTTTAGTTTTGACCACAATTAGGTTGCAGTTGTGTTATTTATAGGTGATGTCCTAGCAAATTGTTATCTACTCACTACAATTGAGTAAAATTGAGGCACCTAACTTAAATGTGATGTTCTAGAAAAACACATTCTAAAGATGCAATTTCTTTAATTTTTTTGTTATTCGCTAGTGAAAAGGGTTCAATCATTGTATATAGTAGTCCCTCTCCCTATCCACAAACACATGGATACAACTCACTTCCATCCATACAACATCAACACCTCCAGAAGTGCTAGAACCCACCATCTTACATAGACATATAGCTCAGAGCCATGAAAGGTCGATTCTCCCCTACACACTCTTTATCTCTATTTCTCAACACACACACACACAGACAATAACTAAAACTTTAAGAAACCATACAAGATAAGCATACATAATCACGACTGTGAAGATAAAAAGGAATCCCTCCCCTCCCACTTCCTTTTCTCTCTATTCATATACATACATTGCTAAACCAGATCCCACCCTCCCTTTCTATCCATTCACATATAAACTTAATTCATAGGAAGCATAGAGAATGGAAACAAACACATTAGAATCGCCATAAATTTACATATATACATTCAACTAGAAAAATCATACAAATTCTTAAGTGCAACAACAACAACAATAAGCCTTTGTCCCACTACGTGGGGTCGGCTACATGAATCCTTTTTCGCCATTGTGTCGGGTTAAAAGTCAAATTTTCATTTAAATCTAATAAAGAAAGATCATTTCTAATATTTTCTAACCAAGTCTTTTTAGGTCTACCTCCACCTTTCTTAACACAAGACAAATCTAATACCTCAACTTTCCTAACCGGGTCATCGGAAGGCCTCCGTTTAATGTGACCAAACCATCTAAGGCAACTCTCTCTTATCTTATCTTCCAATGGAGCTACTCCAACCTTTTCACGTATATGCTCATTTTGTATCCTATCTCTAAGGGTCAAGCCACTCATCCACCTAAGCATCCTCATCTCTGCAACACTTAGTATTATGCTTCTCTTTTAATGGCCAACATTCGGCACCATAAAGCATTGCAGGTCTCACCACCATCTTATAGAATCATCAGCAAAAAGCATACACCAAGGTACATCCTCTTGCAAATGTCTAGTAAGAACATACATGACTAAAGAAAAAAGAAATGGACCTAAGGCTGATCCTTTATGTAATGCAACCGAAATAGGAAAATACTTAGTCAAACCACCTTGTGTTTGAACACAAGTAATAGCTCCTGCATACATATCTTTAATGATTTGAATATAAGAATTATTAACTCCTTTCTTTTCGAGAACTCTCTATAGCACTTCTCTTGGAACTTTATCATATGCCCTACAAATTCTTAAGTAAAAAAGAATAAATTTTCAATTCCTTTCTAAAACTCTTCAAGAAGGTAAAGAACAGATTGTGACAATTAAAAGAAGCAAGTTAAAAAAAACAGCGAGCATACTGGATATTGAAAAAATAAATTATTGAAAGGACCTGTGCGCTTCAAACAGCTTTTCATCGGAGTCCTCATTTATGTAGTTCATTGCAAGTAGTCGGTTCTGTCAGGACAGAAGGTAATTCACTGAATTATAAAATATGGAAAGAATGTGCAGAATGAATAATGCAACTTCATGAAGGGGAAGATAATTCTCATAAATTAAATCTTAAACCAGGTCATTGCCTTACATCAATAATTTAACAATGATTCACCATTACAGTATAACTGCAAAGTAATTCGGCCTAAATTCTCACAACAAGCAGAAATACAATGACTAAGTTTGTAGTAATTATATCTCTGAATACTCTAAATACTAGGAAAAGATGTTTTGACACTATAGAGTTAACTCAGATGCTTCATGAGATCACCCAAAAAAAACAATGAATGAACAAGTAAAGCAACAAAGATTAATGAAACGAATGAAAACAACTTGAAATCTGAGGTTCAAAAAAATCTCTACACCAAGAATTGAGACAAGCTTCCATAGCACAAACCGGCCATTGACCTGAATAGGTTAATTTCCCAGTTCAAACCAATCATGGACCTTAACTTCACAGTTCACATCAAGAATGACAACTGAATTAGGAAACTCAAAAAACTTGTCTGCATGAAAAACTGTACGTAAACTTCAACAATCACGCAAAGGGGTGATGCAGTCTGGAGAGGATTCAAGAAATCAGCCGAGGCCAATAATGTAATAATGTCCCAACCAGGCCCTCTTAGGAAACTAAACACAACATTAATAACGTTGCATACATAAAAAAGGCCTCATTCAAATAAAAAGGTGTAATTAACTATCCAATAATTATTCCAGATGGCTCATTCGAAACTGCAAATAAAAAAGGTAGAGCTGCCTCTTTACAATTACAAGTACTAATGTAAAAAACTATCAGTGCAGTTCATATATCAATTCCGATAATAATATAATAGGAGGAAAATATGATAAGATGAACATTTATAGACATGAATGCTAATGCAAAATAGACAGCCAAATGATGCGTACATGTGATCAAGTGTGAATAGACATAAATTGATACCTCAGTACGCTCCAGTGAAAAATATAGAAATACAGAAGCGTGAACACTCCACGGAATTTAATCCAGATTAATAACCATAAACTTTGGGGATTTTTAGGTATAGCCAAAGCAGGAAAATTAAAGTTATCACAAATAAGCTACAAACGCAAGATAGGGAAGCCTGCATGAGTTCTAAAGGAATAAGTGCAACCCTCAAGTTGAAAATATAAGTGAGGATAGAACATTATGTAATCTCAAGCTCATTATACTACTACTACAACAACAACAACAAGCCTTTATCCCACTATGTGGGATCGGCTACATAAATTTTTTTTCTCCATTGTGTCATATTAAGAGACAAATTCTCATCTAAATCTAATAAAGAAAGCTCATTTCTAATATTTTCTAACCAAGTCTTTTTAGGTCTACCTCTACATTTCTTAACAGAAGTCAAATCTAGTATATCTACTTTCCTAACTGGGTCATCGGAAGGCCGCCATTTTATGTGACCAAACCATCTAAGGCGACTATCTCTAATCTTATCTTCCACTAGAGCAACTCCAACATTTTCACGCATATGCTCATTTCGTATGTTATCTCTAAGAGTAAAGCCACTCATCCACCTGAGCATCCTCATCTTTGCAACACTTATTATTATACTTCTCTTTTAATGGCCAAAATTCTGCACTATAAAGCATTGCAGGTCTCACTATCATCATATAGAATTTTCCCTTAAGTTTGAGAGAGATTTATCTATCACACAACAAGCCCGATGCATTCCTCCACTTTAACCATCCAACTTGAATTCTACTAATAATATCCCCATCAATTTCACCATCACCCTGAACAATAGACCCAATATATCTAAAATGTGTACTATTATTAATGACTTGATCGCCGAAATTATGAATCCCCATACTAGATCTATTATTACTAGAATTACACTCCATATATTCAATTTTAGATCTACTCAAACGAAAGCCTATAGACTCTAAGGTTGACCTCCATAATTCAAGTTTACCTTTAACTCCCTCTCTAGTCTTATAACAAGAAGAATATCATCACCAAAATGCATAAACCAAGGTACAACCTCTTGCAAATGTCTAGTGAGAACATCCATGACTAAAGCAAAAAGATATGGGATAAAGGCTGATCCTTGATGTAATCCAATTAAAATAGGAAAATAGTTGGTCAAACCTCCTTGTGTTTGAACACAAATAACAACTCCTGCATACATATCCTTAACGACTTCAATATAAGCATTATTAACATCTTTCTTATGCAGAACTCTCCATAGCACTTCTCTTGGAAATTTATCATATGTTTTCACTAAATCAATAAAATTCATATGTAGATCCTCCTTATTCTCTCAATACTTCTCCATCAAACCTATCAACAAATGTATAGCTTCCATAGTAGACCTACCTGGCATGAATCCAAATTGATTTTGAGAAACATTAGTGTCACGTCGCAACCTATGCTCCATAACTCTCTCCCACAATTGTAAAGTATGACACGTTAACTTAATTCCTCTATAATTCACACAATCTTGAGCATCACCTTTATTCTTAAAAATAAGAATCAACACACTCATTCTCCACTCATCTGATATATTTTGTCTTCAAAATAATATTAAAAAGTTTAGTAAACTAAGATATTCCTTCATCTCCAAAGCATTTTCACGTCTCTATTGGAATATCATCAGGTCTAACAAACTTTCCACATTTCATTTTCTTTAAAGACTCTTTAACTTCAATTTCACTAATACACTGATAAAAATAAAAATCTTTATTTTTATTTAGGGTACTGAGGTCACTAAAGTTAATCGCATTCTCATAATATTCATTGAAAAGTTTAGTAAAATATCTGACCCGCCTTTGTTAAATATCCTCTTCTAATAAAAGCATTTTTTGATCTTCATCCTTAATACACTTCACTTAAATTAAATCATTACTACTTCTCTCTTTTTTTTACTGTTTCTATCTCTATATTTAGCTAACTTATGCATATATCTTTCGCACTTATTAGTATCTAATCTATTATATCAATAATTAAAAGCTAAAATTTTTGCATCACATATTACTTTCTTAGAATTTTTTTGGGCCTCTTTATATCTTTCCTAATTATCAGAATTTTTACAGCTAACAAATTTTTATAACAAATCTTCTTATTTTTTATCTTTTATTACACATTTTAATTCCACAACCAACTAATTTTACTATTAATAGTTTTTCGTTTTGATACTCCGTGCACATCTTTTGCAACATTCTTAATATCACTAGCTACATTTTCCCACATAACATTAGCTTCCTCATGCACAGGCAAAATCTTAAGATGTAGAATCTTACTCTCAAAAATATTTTTATTATTATTCTTTAAATACCCCCATCAAATATTAGAACAATAATTTACTTTATTTTTATTTTCTGTCCCTTCATCTTAAAGTCCAAAATTATAAAATGATGTTGGGTACATAAACATTCACTCGGAATAATTTTACAATCTTTGCAATATAAACGATCTATTTTTCTTATAAGAAAATAATCAATCTGAGTTTTAATTATATCCATTCTTATAAGTGATGAGATGTTCCTCTCTTTTTTTAAATAAGGTATTAACAATTACAAAATCATAAGCAAAAGTAAAATCTAATATAGTCTTATCACATTCATTAATCGCTCCAAAGTCATAGCCACCATGAATCCTTTTAAAATCATCAATCTCTCCACCAACATGTCCATTTAAATCTTCTCCAATAAAAAAACTTTCTTCCAGAGGTATCTTTTGTATTAATTCTTATAGGTTATTTAAAAATTTTAATTTTGAACACATATTCATACCTACTTGAGAAGCATAAACCCTTATAATATTAATAATCTTAGCATCAACAACAATCATTACAATTATAATTCCATTTCTAATTCTATTAATTTTTATAACATTATCCTTCAATCCCTTGTATTTATAATCACACCTACATCATTTCTAGTACGACTCCTACCAAAATATCATAGTTCAAATTCTAAACTATCAATCTCCTTAGCTTTCTCTCCAACCCATTTAATTTCCTGAATGCATAGAATATTTATCTTCCTATGAATTATAATATCTATTAATTCCATTAATTTGTCTGTAAATGAACTTATATTCCAAATTCTTATCCTAATTTTAATTTCATGAACTAACTTCTTTGCCCACATTCATCCATGATGTGAGAACCTTTGCCTATTTAACCCTGCACTCGAGTGCCGTGCAGCGGCCCTTGCACACTTATCGTTATTTTCAGGTCGTACAACGTGCACTTCTAGTGAACACCCTAGCATTAACACAATGGATTAAATGATTCATGTCATGATTATTCGACAAGTTTTTCGCTAGCTGTCGACTACCTAACACAACCCTCCACTTTCCTCATCCAGGATTTGGGACCTGACAACTTGCATATGCATAATGGCATCAACACCGCCTTATCCCAATTATTTGGGGCATAAGAGCATAATTGGGGACTAATGGAATATAGAAACAATCAGGGGTTATCATATACCATTAGTTTAATCTTTCGATTCATTTAAAGCTTACAATCATATCAAAACCAAAAGTCGCAATTTTAAGTCCTGGTCCAAATATTTAATTAAATTGCATGTGGTCCAGTACTTAGTCCACAAACCAAACTACAGTCGCACTTTGGGCCAATTTATTTTGATGGAAGTGTTTCAAGATGAATCCCATAAATAAGTTTTTGTGGAAATGAGTTTAAGAAATGTTTGCATGTTTCACATGCACTTACTTCTTGGGAATTAAATTCCAATGTTTATTTGGGTTGCAGTGAGTTTCATTTTCACCATCATTCATTAATTTCACATTATTTTATAATTATTATGATAAAGGAAATATTATAACCAAGTATCCTCTTAAGTTTATGCTATTATAAAACTTCATGTAATAATTGAAAGTGAAGGTGACTTCCAAGCTCTCATAACTAAAACACACTTCTCACCTTTATGAAGGTGGGCTTCAAATCTAGGAACTCGCTTTCATACACCTTTAACCAACACAGAAACTATGTTCCGGTATTCCACTCACTCCACACACTTATGTCAAATCAAACTAATCCTTTGAGGGGCTCGTTAGGTAAGCTATTGCTTGTAACCTATCATTTAGGCCTTCATCCATACCTAACTTTAACAGGAAGAATGCAGAAAGCTTTGAAATGATTATGTCAACCACGGAATATCTATAATGAACATGGATCATAGAAGCACGGTTACAATTATATAAATAAATTTCTGAGGGGAAAGAATGATGGAGATAGGGTAGTGGCTAAGAAAGATTGCAAGCAAAGCAAGATCTAGTAGAATAATACCCTGGTAAAGGGCCCAATGAAAGAAGGGATTGTGATCGCATGATACATTCACTTTCAATGAAAAGACAACGTGGTACCAATTAAAAATATTTGTAGTGAAAAGAAAATCCAAAGTAACAAAAGCACCGTTCAAAGAAGCTTTCAGCAACAAGTCTACCATCACAAAACCCAAAAAAATTAGGTTAACAGTAACACAATATCAAGAACTGCAAGCGACTGTGCAGTTAAGTTAGTCTAAGCAAGCATCAAATGGAGGAATTCAATAGCTTTTGAAAATGAGGCATATCACTTCTATTGCTCCATAAATGCATGATTAAACTAATTCTAAACAGCAAAAGTGTATCATAATCCCAATCTCATACCTGACCCGCATTCCTTGAATCGGGATCTATCTCAAGACATCTCTCATATGCTTCTATAGCCAAGTTAATATTGCCTGCATCTCTATATAGAACCCCTGAAAGAGCATCAGGAACTCAGAGAAAAAAAGTGCATAAAAGGAAAAGGATAGCACACAGAAAAGAAAACAAAACCTAACTACCTAAAGAAAGAGTGAAAAGAGGTTTTAAATCAACTTAACGATAACAGAACTTCAGAAAACTAGAACTTCTCATGAATTGAGCGTTTCATATTGAACTTTTTAACCTGGAAGAATATGAAGCATACCTTTTCGCTCATGGCCGGCCATCTTAGCAAAAGATGGATGGAGTGAGGTTTAGGGTTAAAGCAAAAAATGACTAAACAAGAAAAAAGGAACAAGGAAACTAGAATTAAAACCAATCAAAAGTCTCAAAAACCCGGCATTGCAAGTACTCAAAATGCAAGGCAAAGAATTAGAAAACGCTAAGCTCTACTTAGACTAAAGTATTAAAGAATCAAACCAATGACATTCTAAACTAAAAGACACTTTATATTAAGTAATAAAAAATTATGAAAAAAATTAGTCGAGTACGATAAAACCTCTACACATGATTAATGTAGTGTTAAGACAATATTTTAAGCTCTAATATCAGTTAAATATTTTGTTTTCAATTAGATATTTTACTTATTATTAAACTAATTATTACTCAGGCGATTTCATATTAAGGAATGCAGATAAATTATTAGACTAGTTCATAAGCATAGTTTAATTTCTATGATATTTCTACATCAGAGTTGTTTATCTTGCAATATTATGTTGAATGTTATTTCTGATAAAGGAAAGAAACCTGAATAAGAATAATATTTTGATCAATTACTCTATTTTGGTAAGCTAAAGAATAATCAGTTACGTATATGAAGAAAATTTAGATGGTATACAAATGAATATTTATGTGTATTAGAAGATAGTTAAATAAGTGAAAATGTTTTAAAACACCTCAAGTTAATTGATTTGTGTTAATTGTCAAAATCTTTCATATCAGAAATTATGGTATATGAAGATTTATTCACATATGCCTTTTTTATTCCTTCGCGCGGTGTGTACAAGTTCAATGTACAAACATCACATAGTAAACAAACTCCTTAATCTGAAATTATATCAAAGTGTATGATGTTGCACAATGATGGATGATACAAATACCTAAGATTCTAAGTAAAAAACACCATACATATTCATGAACAATGTTTCCGAAAATGTAATAAGAAAATCAAAGCCATATGACAAGAAAATAAAATGTGGGTGATGAGGACATCAGATCATGGAAAGTATATCAGAGACGTGGACGACGATCGACGGCCACGATCACACTGATCTATTTTTTATTATTATTGTATTAGTTTTATTTTTTATGAGTTTTGTTATTTTCTTCCGTTTATACCCTCGCTTAAAGGGTTTAGTTGTATGTGTGCCCTAGGGGCAATTATGTTTTTTGTTTTTCATTCATCATGTATGGCTATATATAAGCCACTTGTATCTTTTGAAGGTTAATGAAGAATGATATAAAAATTTCTACTTTGTGATCTTGAGAGAGCTTGAGAGGAAGTTTGGGAGAAGAAGCCTAGGAGAGGCCAAGCGTAGTACCCAACAGCCACCATCGGTGAGCCCTTGGATTTCCATAATTTTTCCTTTCTCAACCTTTCCCTCTTACCTCCCCACCGCCGGTGTACTCTCCACACCTCCTCCCTCACTCCACGAAAATTCCCCCCACACCATCACCCCACCGCCGATCATACCACCCGCCGCCCCTTGTCCCCATCCCCACCACCACTTCATGCCACCGCCCCTCTCTTCCGATCAAGCCCAACCAGCCGGCCTCACCACCTCCCCTCACCTTGGATCCCACATTAAATTCCCCATTCAATACCTTCCATATTTGGCCATAGCAATTTTGGGAACAATTCAAATTCAAATACATTTGATTTGAATTTCAATTTTTTTTTTCCAATTAACCCAAGCTATTTAGGAAAGCAATTCAATCTAATAAAATCTATGTTAATTTCAGATTTTAATTACCCATCTCCATTAATGCCATGGCCCACATACAATGAATTTAGACACAAATCCCTCCCCCCTCTCTCTAGGCCAGCCCACCCCTCTCTCCTCCCCATTATTCCTTGCCATTAATGACTCCCTAATCACTCCTTTAATTTTGGTTAATTCAAATTCAAATTGAGAGTGATTTAATCCAATCAATCCTAATTGAAAGCTATTAATTAGGCGAGCCATTAAACCCTCACCTAATCCCTCTCTTTTCCCCCTCATGCCACCGGCCCACCCTCTCACTCTCTCTACCTACAGATTTAATGCCTAATAAAATCTTTCCTAAATTAGTTCCTTCATTATGGCATGATCCATGAGAGCTTCCCACGGATTGATCACATCAAATCCTAGCACCTAAACTTATTCTACTGCTGTTTAGACAGTTCCCAAAGGCTGTCACGAGTTTCTTTTTTCTCTCTTCTGCATTGTGACTTGCTGTCCAACTGGTGGGAAGATCCCTGATTGCTGTCCCCCATCCAGAAGTGCCAAAATCAGCTAGGAAAGCTGTCCAAGGAGGCCTCCCAGCTGCTATCCAGCTGATCGGATAATCATAGTTTGCTGCCATCAATTCAGGGACGTCAAAATCAGCAAGGAGGCTGTCCAAGAAGACCTCCCAACTGCTGTCCAGTGAACGATTGGAGTTTAATTTCACCTTTGTCCGTGGGTAAACTCTCCTTCCTGCTTCTCTACCATCCTAGTCGCTTCCGATTGTGGTTTATAATTGATTCATGAAGGCTCTTGTCAATTACTCCGCTAAAGCTTAGTATAGTTAGAGAATTGAATGAGTGGATGTCTTCATAGAAACTTATCTCGTTGTTAAATGAGGGATTTTTATTGAAGCTCTTCTTTGTATGCTGTCATTGATCTAGATGGTCATTTACAATGTTCCCAACTTTTATATATGCAACTTGGCCTAAGCTAAATTCACCCCACTTTTGTTTTATTTCTTCGTTAAGTCGCTTGAGCTAATTTTAATATTGTTTTCTTCAAGTAAGCGTGCAAATTCTTAATAGTTAATCCTCACATCATTTAGTCCTGCATCATCTGGTATCAGAGCCAGTTTAGCATAAGATACATATGCTAGAAATCCTCCTAGGAGTTTAGCTAACCATCCTTATGTTTTGTTGCGTGCATATCATCATTTGCAATAATTCATTTTATTGTTGTGCTTGCTGTCCACACTTTTTCTGCACTCATTTAGTGAACAATACATTAGTCCTTGAGTATTTAGGTGTTGTCCTCCACCTAGCACAACCCCTAAATGCCTAGATCACTTTACTCACAATGGTACCTTGCTGCCCTATCAATTCCTGCACTTTTAGAGACATTTAGGTGGGTTTAAATTAGTTTTTAGGTGCTTCCTTTACCTTTTTACCACCCTTAGTGACCCGTAGTGTCTCCAAATGGACCCGGAACATCTTAGCAGGACTCTAGATTTGTTGGTGGGTCAGATGGGCGCAATTAATCAACAGCTAAAGGAGAACCAAGCAGATTTAGCCGACCTCCGTCGTCAGACGACTGAACGTTTCGATAACCTAGCGCGAGGAAGGAATTACCCACCTCTTTACACCCCTTCTCGACACCCCCTTCCATGTATGGGGATGAAACCTATCAGGATGAGGGCCCTCCGCCTCGTGCCCCTTATTGGAATCCACACTACGGACATGAGTCCAACCCTGACCCTGATATTCCATTGATTAAAAACATCAAAGTTGACGCTCCCACCTTCGATGGGACTTTGGATCTTCAAATGTTTTTAGATTGGATTAAGGGAATGGATAGCTTCTTTAAATAGTACAACATCTCTGAAGCTAGGAAAGTTAGGTTTGTCGAAATGAAATTTGTCGGTAGAGTTAGTCAATTCTGGTCAAACTTAGAAAACCTCCGGGAATCCCGCAACGAATATCCCATTATTGATTGGGCTTCCATGAAGCGTGAACTTAAACAGAAGTATCTACCTCCTCCTTATTTCCCTAGACTCCTTGATAGGTGGAATAGGCTTACCCAAGGTAGTAAACCAGTCAAGGATTACATCGCATCCTTCGAAGACTATCTGATTCATTGAAAATGGAGACCTCTACTACCCCCGCACAAATCCTATTTATGTTCCGTACTGGATTGAGCGAGGACCTGCGCAATGAACTGTTTGCTCGTAATATCACCACTCTAGAGAACGCCTATAGCTTAGTGTTAAATCTCGAGGAGACCCGTTCCCAGCATCCTAGTAGACATCAAGATTCGAGACCAACCTATCGTTCCTCCAGTGGCCCGGCCCACTCGACACCTCGGCCGACCTCCAGCATCCAAACCCGACCCCTTCTTGGTCCACCTACACCTCAACCTAATGTTAGGAACAAACCACCCACCTCGAATGCTCCCAGGTCCAACCCTGGAACTAAGTGTTATAGATGTCAGAGGTATGGGCAAATTGCTTCTCAGTGTTCCAGCCCTTATAAGGTCTCAATTATCAAGGAAATTACTGAGGAGGATGTTGATCCCGAAGTCGATCATATCCATCAAGTGGAAGATGATGGCGAATTCTTCGAGGAGGACGATGACACGGTTGCCCTCCACTGCCTTCAGAGGCTTGACACCACTCCCATCTGCGTGGTGAGGTGTGCACTATCCCAACCCATTGTCACTGATAACTGGCATAGAACTTCCATTTTTAATGCATATACTAAAATCAAAGATAAGAATTGTAAAGTCATAGTGGATAGCGACAGTTGTATCAATGCTGTCTCTTCTGGCAGGTGTCTAAGCTTGGTTTGTCTGTCGTTCCTCACCCTAACCCCTACAAGGTAGCTTGGGTCAACTTCACTGCCTTAGAGGTGAAGGAGCGAAGCTTCATTCCGATCTCCTTGCTGATTATAAGGAAAATGTTTGGTGTGACATTCTAGTTATGGATGTTGGACAAATTATCTTAGGACATCCCTGGATCTTTGATAACGATGTTCATATCTATGGGCGTTCAAACACCTGCGTGTTTGAACACA